CACTTTGCAGAACGGAGTAAAAATACAAAACACCAGAAGTGCAGATGATTTTGCTCTTATTAAATGTTTGTCAATCAAACACATAGTTGCATGACAGAGATATAATTCTCTACGGTGTTTATCCCAGTTCTGGTCGTATCCCAGTTCTGGTCGCTACATACGTGGTCGATCATCTTTAGTTTTGGTGGTCTGGTACCGTTGCTGGAGCCTGTATATGGTCCTTACGTGGACTTGAAATGCATTGGCTACTTGCCGGGCGGTTTGTCCAAATTGCAATCGTCCAGGGGCTTGGTGTCGCTGATTTCTTGTCAATCTTGGCATATGGTAGCAATTCAATAACGAATGAATATTATCCGATCTTGGTGAAGTTTTATAGGGCAAGAAATGGGGGTACATTTCAATTTGCACGGAACTCACGTGCATCGGGTTACCATGGCCGTTGCCGTGATGCGTTTGGGCGATCGGTTTTATTGTCATCTGCTTTGTTTTTTATCATCAAATTTCATTTTTCCCTATAAAAAAATGTTAATTTTTAAAAACTTTCGTAAACATTACCCAGATATTTAAATGACAACCTTTTATGCAATGTTACTTGGGGTGACGCTTCTTTTGCGGTTCAGTATATATATAGAACATAATATTGGTCCAGACTCGATTATTTACAGACCGCCGTCATATTGTTGGAATATTCATGTGTGCGGCGTTAAAAAAACCAAAACAAACAAACAAACAAAAGCCTGTGCGGTGACTTCGGTGTTTGTTTTCGTGACCTTGCAAAGGAAGGAGTGTTTTCTGATGGACTTTCAAATCCCCTCCTGCCAAATCCTAACGGCGATGGTTGAAGGGGATGGCAATGCATATTGATCACAATTTTAAGGTCTGTATAATATAATTAATAATTAATGATAATACAGTCAGTTGAATTTCACAGTGGTTTTATTTGATTATAAACACACTGTGCTTTCACATACACGTGTTACCTGAAGCTTTGCTACTTACCTGAGTTTGGAACAAAGTGTGCAAGGTGAGGTTTATATGTTAAATGTGGGGCGGTCGGGTAGCCTAGTGGTTAAAGCGTTCGCTCGTCACGCCGAAGACCCGGGTTCGATTCCCGACATGGGTACAATGTGTGAAGCCCATTTCTGGTGTCCCCCGCCGTGATATTGCTGGAATATTGCTAAAAGCGGCGTAAAACCATATTCACTCACTCACTTATATGTTAAATGTAGCACCATCATCAGGCAGCATAACTCTTTCATTGAAAATACCGATTCTTAATCTCCTTATTTTACCAAGATATAGTTAAGCCCTAATCTTTTGGTAAAATAATTCAAAATACACGGGTTTAGTTTAATGTGTTGAGTAGGTGACCTATTAAAATTTGCCGAAAGTTAACGGAGCTATGAGATTATGATAGGCTAGGCTCAAAGTCACTTTAATTTATTTAGCTTTTTTCAATAGTATTATATTCAACTACATATAAATATACACATAAACAACATGTGATTTCATTTTGATCTCAGTTTGTCCATAGCAGCACGCCATGTTTCAGTACTAGGAGCTGTATCAGCTAGTATACACGGTCTGGGTACTCAAATGCTGACGTAAGATGATTCATCAGAACGTCCCTCTGAACACAGATTGTAGCATCGCTGTGCTCGGTTCGTTCAACTGCATGTGCACGCTTCATATCTGTAGCGGAATCTGTCGTACCACCTCTTGGGCCAAGGAGCGGAAATAACACTCTCGAGTGTTGGTGTATGAGAAGGCTTTACCCACTGCATTATGGGCTGCACGTTTGATAGACTTATACTTTGTCTAGGATCACATTTCTTTGAAATTATTGTATATTTTTTCAAAAGATTTTTTCCTCCTCTGCACGTTAGGTTGCAGTTGCGGGTTGTGGGATGCTATTGTGGATTGTGAAATGAACTAAACAAGATTTTCTTCAGGTTGGTCTAGACTTGCCGAGGCTTTTAGTGAGGTGAGGTGAGATGAAATTGAGGGTTTAACGTCGCGTCCAAGATTATTGCACTTGTATAGCGACGTGCATGCACAGGTGTGTAGTGTGTACTAGTCCGGACTGAAGCCGATTTATAGTGCTAGCCCACTGAGATACCATGCCGTAGTTTAACATGAATACCCCACTCAGACACAGTATACTGACTCCGAGCCGACCAGTCCTTGTTTTAGCCCCTTGATGCCGTGCGCCAGTACCACCTTTTAACGTCTTTTGGTATGACGCGGCCGGGGATCGAACCCCGGACCTTCCGCTCACCGGGCGGACGCTCTACCACTAGGCCACGGAGGCGGTCCCTAGACTTTTAGTAACAAAATAACAAGTATATGTATACCTGTATTCTTGCAGCCAGTTAACAAATCAGAAGAAAACCCAACCACCTAAAAATCGTAAAACAAGACCCAACAGGTAAATGAGACAGACAGCACAAGACAACCATCCAAGATCTCCACAGTAAGAGAGAGATAAATGACACTGTATTCAACAAACTGAACCCTATAAACTCGCAGCCCCTTTATGCCAGAGTCATTGTCAAAGTCCACAATGATCCGGTCACAGAATACTTTCATGCTCAAGAGCTCAGTGTTCTACAACACAGCCCAGCACCTTGTCCATCTACTAGCACCATTGGGGGAAGAAGGAAAATCCGTCATCAGCAATTCCAGTACCTTTCTCAACAAACTCAAAGAAGCCAAGCTCACAGGCCGCATGGTCGACTACGATGTAGTAGACATATTCACCCACACACCTTTGCAGGAAGCACTCCAAATCCTACACTGCAAGATACAGACCCGCATTGACCAGTTAGACACATCCGCCTCCACAGACAGCATCACACTGTTCACTGCCTCCTGCTTCACCGCCACCTGCAAGTGAAAGTGCTCGACAGACCATAGGAACACATAATTGACACATTAGCCGGGACACTGTGATCCGACGTCTCCGTTCCAACAACCTCAGATGTCGCCGACCAGCACGTCGTTCTGTTCTCCGACCACGGCATCGACAAGCACGACTACAGTGGGCACAGGGTCATCACAATTGGCGTCATTGTGAGTGGAGGCGTGTCATCTTCTCTGATGAAAGTCGCTTTTGTGTCTCCCATGAAGACGGAAGAGTCAGACATTGGCGGCGTCGAGGTGATCGTTTCGCTGACAGAAACGTTGTGGAAAGGGATCCATGGGGTGGACCTAGCGTCATGATATGGGCAATGATTGGACTTAATGCGAGACTTGGACCCATGTCCTTTCTGAATGTTGGTCAAGGTCGGGGACACGGCGTCACTGCTCAGCGGTATATCGACCAAGTGATCAGACCCCACGTTGTTCCATTTTTTGCACATCAACAACACATTTTCCAGCAGGACATCGCTCGTCCCCATGTTGCCAGAGTTACCATGGCCTTTCTGCAACAACACAACATCCGCGTTCTACCGTGGCCAGCCCTCAGCCCTGATCTGAACCCCATCGAACACTCGTGGGATGAGGTTCAAAGGCGTCTGCACAATGTGCGCCCAATCCCACAACTGCCGATGAACTACGCACAGCTGCTCTGGATGACTGCGGGTGGATCCCTAGGGCCTTCAAATGGTCTGATCCACTCAACATACAGGAGATGTGTTGCAGTGATCAAAGCTAATGGTGGTCACACCAGGTATTGACTGAAATTTTGGGTATTGACCCGAAACTGTGTAAGCCCTTAACATTTGAAAAAAAACAATTATGTCATCTGCCTTTTAATCCATTAAACTGTCTTCAGGCAAATTTTTGTCAATCTTGCCCTATTAGTATTTCTTGTCTTTACTGTTGAAAATAAATAACATGTATACTGCATACTCGAATTGCGTTTCTTTTGCGTGTGAGTGTATGTATATAGTACTCTATGCACTTACTCAGCATTCACCTGACGAAGGAGCAAGAAGTAACTCTGAAACGTCGTACAAAGAATAACAGGAGTTGATGTCCGTAAAAAGGTGTCATGTATTCACGTTTAATATCAATGCGGTATTGAAACGTATCACCAAAATTTCACAACGCGAGTCTATATAAAGTCACAACTACCTGCGTCATGTCCAGCGTGCCCATACTGAGAAATAGCTGTTTCTAATGTGTGTTGTGTATTATGAAGTGCAAACAGTGAAGGATAGACCCGTGAAGATCCGGGGTAGAAAAGGTCTTCAGCAACCCATGCTTGCGATAAAAGGCGACTATGCTTGTCGTAAAAGGCGTCTAACGGGATCGGGTGGTCAGGCTCGCTGACTTGGTTGATGCATGTCATCGTTCCAAAATTGCGTGGATCGATGCTCATGATATCAATCACTGAATTGTCTGGTCGATTATTTTACAAACGGCCGTCATATAGCTGGAATATTTCTGAGTGCGGCGTTAAACAACAAACCAAACCAAAAAAGTGAAGGATAAAAAATGAAAGATATGTTTCATGGAGGAAACTGTTTCTTGCATATCAGAGCTTTACGATCAGTTGGGTATTTAAACTTAACAGCATCCACATCAGTATCTATATTAAGCCACAACTAACTCGTGTCGTAAGAGGCTTCTCACGGGATCTGGTGGTAAGGCTTGCTGGTTGATGTATGTCTTCGATCCAAATTGCGTGGATCGATGCTCATGATGTGAATCACTGGATTGTCTGGTCCAGACTTAATTATTTACAGACCGCTGTCACATAGCTTCAATATTCCCGAGTGCGGCGTTAAACAACAAACAAACAAACTTTACCTGCTGCCAAGGGCTTCCTTGTCATAACCGACCCGTGCAGATTCGGGGTACAAAAGATTTGCAGCAACCCATGCTTGCCCTTAAAGGCGACTATGCTCGTCGTAAAAGGCGACTAACGGGATCGGGTGGTCAGGCTCGCTGACTTGGTTGATGCATGTCATCGATCCCAATTGCATGGATCGATGCTCATGAAATTAATCACTGGATTGTCTGGTCCAGACTCGATTATTTTACAAACCGCCGTCATATAGCTGGAATATTTCTGAGTGCGGCGTTACACAACAAACCAAACCAAAAAAAGTGAAGGATAAAAAATGAAAGATATTTTTCATGGAGGAAACTGTTTCTTGCATATCAGAGCGTTACTATCAGTTGGGTATTTAAATTCAACAGCATTCACATCAGTATCTATATTAAGCCACAACTAACTCGTGTCTTTATCGTCTCCATACCGGCGTGCCCAGTCATGACTTCTGACAGTGTTGTACGGTTGTACACCCGCGGGAGACGTTTTCTGTAGGACCATATCCCAGTGAGTACCTTAGAATTTTTCGAATGATTCTATGTCTCTATGAATGTGAGTCTATTTAGAAATCGTCAGCTGTAACTTCCGCCAATTATACATAAACCACGGTGTCCGGCCCCTGTAATAGTAGGCGTAAACCCATTATAAACTTCCTCTTTCTATCAGCGTCTACTGAGGAATACATTTTCGATTTCTTAACCTCTGCGTTGAGTTTGTGTTGTACGAGAGTCAGTTTTTGAAAGTTAACATATAACCATTGTTCAGGACTGTTTCTATACATTTTCTTAATTTTATATTTTGTTATCGGGGTCAATGTCTTTAAAAAAACACAAGGGTGGACAATTGGTCTGTCTAACCACGGGCTAGGATAATTTTGTTTAATCCTCAGTCGAGTGATCTGCTGTGACAGACGGAATGTCGCACGTACTTGCGATGATCCGATGTCACCCTAGACCAGGAAGAAAACATTGTGTACTCTGTTATGAGTTGACAGGTTGCGTTGACCTGATTTCAGCATACACATAAATACGTAACACATGATGTTTACATTTTAATAAAAGTTTCATTTTAATTAGTTTAACCCAATTTAAGTACATTGGCCCTTACGTAATGTTTTGGGTCCTATTTCATTGCCGAACCATCGGACAATCTCAGTGTGTGTCAGTGTCAATATCTGGTGAAATATCTATGTATAGACTCATTAGTCCAGCCAAAACTCCGGACTCCATCCAAGTTTTATAGTTACATAACGTCCTTGCCTCGGGAAGTTGGATTTTACTGCGATCTACGCCGTATTTTGACGTCTCGATACACGTTGACGTCCGTCAGTCATGTGTAGAAGGTAGTGACTTTCATGGACAATGGATCCGTCTACATGACCTCAAGTTCCAATGATGACGGGTCAGGCGATAGCAGTGGACGTTGCTCATAAAGCCGGCTTCTCTGCAATGCTTCTCATGGTAATAGTCAAGAGACGGACTTCTGTATTCCAGTGTCGCCTGAGAATGGTGCTGTTTCATGTAGGAGTTTGCCACACAATATGAATTAAGGCTTTCTCGCGGTTCTGTCTTCCTTGCCCACCCTGACCTTAGACTTTCCTTGACCTGTCCGACAGATGCCGACAATGGCACGATATGACATTCCAGTCACATGCACACCTGAATTTGGCCACATCACCATTTTCCAACTTAAAAATAATAAATTCTTCAAAAAAGAAAGAAACGCAAAGCCAGATTTGTGTGAGGTAGGAAAATACATTTATACGGGGTACCGTACAAGGCATTGAGCCAAAGTGTTGTGGAGAGAACACTTGGTGATTGTAGTCATCTCAGTTATCGGTACATAGGAAAAGTCCAAGGTGAAGGTCAGCTACCATCAATAACGTATGTCCCCCGTTGGAATCGATAGCGGCCTGACATCTCCTGCCCATGGAAGAGACGAGTATGCGAATCACATCCTGGGGAATGGTAGCCCACTCGGTCTGCACCGCAAAAGCCAACTGCTGCCACATCTGGGGCTGTGGTTGACGTCGGCGTAGCCGTCTATCCAAATAATCCCACAGGTTCTCTATCGGGTTCAAATCCGGGGATCTGGAGGGCCAGGGGAGAACATAAACGCTGTTGTTGTGTAGAAAGGCTCTTGTGAACCGTGCTGAATGCGGTCGAGCTTTGTCCTGCTGGAATACAACATTGCCGTTGGCTGCAATTGGGAGGACGTGTGGTAGGAGAATTTCGTTGATGTATCGTTGTTCAGCCGTAAGATTGCCCTGGATATGGACCAAACCAGTCCACATCATAACTCTACCCGCACCTAACCTGTCCACTTCCTGTACGCAGTTTCCGGCTTAACGTTCTCCCCGACGTCTGGTGACCTGTGCACTTCCATCCCCTCGACGGGAGAAAATCTTGATTCGTCGCTGAACCAGACATCTCTCCAGCGCAGTTGAGGCCATACCCTGACGACACTAATGCAGTCGTTGTTGACGATGTTGTCGACTCAATATGACGCGTCGAGCAGGACGTCTTGCTCGTAGACCTGCTGCTCTGAAACGGTTCCGTACAATCTGATCGGAGATTCTGCGCAGTCCGGGCATTTGGGACGCGGATGAGATGGCTGTGGTCTCCTTTCACGTGCCTGGCGCAGTCGGATGTAACGATCTTGGGTGGGGGTGGTTACTCCTGGTCGTCCCGACCTTGGCCGATCACGTGTTGCCAAATGCTGTTGAAACCGATCCCATAGCCTTGTGATGGTGCTGGGCGCTACATTGAAAACCCTGGCTACAGCTGATCGGGAATACCCTGCCTGCAAGCGGCCTATGACGTTGTTTCTTTGGACTTCTGTTTAACTTGGAATGTTTTGGAACTGTCACTGTTCGATTGACGCAGATGCCAGGCAATAAAAAACCCCTGCACTTTGATATCGTTCATAGTGCCGCTGCACGTGCATTACGTGCAGCTCCATGTCCCTTTTGTTACTGCACAGACCAATGGTTTGCATGTCCTTGTCGTGTTCATTTTGATTCGGGAAATTTGTCACTGACACTATAACACATTAAACCTCGCCATTTTGCACCTCTTGGTCGGCTAAATTTGCTTTTATGGCCCAAAATATCCATTTTGCGTTTCTTTTTTTGAAGAGTATATTAACTGTAAATTACTTGACTCTGACTTGAATTTGACCCTCGGTACACCATCGGTATAAATAGAGTTGTGTAACATGTCACCAAATCATTGAGTCATTCTGACGTGTTGAACTGTCGGAAATACAACAACCGGGTCAGAGTCCCTCGCTGCCACTGCGCTCGTGTCCGTACAGCACGGAGGCTCGCCGTGTTGACTGTGACACAATGTACTGCACAGACCTTAAACCTTACCCCAGTGTAGAATGGCATTGGATGCCCAACTAAGGATCAAGACATGTAACTAAATAACACAGTGATCACATGATTACGGACCCTTTGATGTTGGCTACCGGGTGATGAATCGCAAAACGCATCGTCAAGTGTCAGTCACACTTAGTGTGGCCGCTGTCCGATAGTCCGGTACTATATTCATAATAAATTCTTATTTTGAAGTTGAAGGGATATCCGATGATTTCATTGCCTTATTTGCTGATCACACGACCAGCTCATTTTTTTAACAAAGTTTAAAAAGTGACGTTTCCGAAGTCTAAACTACGCTTTGACGTTTACAGGATCCCCGCGTGGAAAAATTCTCTATTCTCTCCCCTGCTCGCCACGATCGCGAGGATCGGCAATGTCGGCCAATTAATTAACGTTAACGGTTTCTTTTTTACTCGGGGGCGATCGGGTAGCCTAGTAGTTCGCTCTTCAAGCCGAAGACCCGGGGTTCGATTCCCGACATGGGCTACGCACAATGGTGCCCCTCGCCGTGATATTGCTGGAATATTGCTAACAGCGGCGTAAAATCGAAATCACTCACTCACTAATTCACTCACTCACTCACTCTAGGTTTCACTGAACACTTTATACTTTTCATTGAACACTTCATATTCGCATTACTCCCAGGGTGCCACAGGGACCCTCCACTACTACCCTCAGATTGATCCCCCGTGAAGATCCGGGGTAGAATAGGTCTTCAGCAACCCATGCGTGCCGTAAAAGGTGACTATGCTTGTCGTAAAAGGCGACTAACGGGATCGGGTGGTCAGGCTCGCTGACTTTGTTGACGCATGTCATCGATCCCAATTGCATGGATCGATGCTCATGAAATTAATCACTGGATTGTCTGGTCCAGACTCGATTATTTACAGACCGCCGTCATATAGCTGGAATATTGTGCGGCGTTAAACAACAAACAAACAAACAACCTCAGTTTGAAATCGAATACAATTCAAAATATATGGCTCACACAAATACTCTTCAAGGTTTTCAATACCGTGGGAATAAAATAACACATTTTTTTTATTTATAAACACTCTTTTTCAGCGTGAACTCCCAGAAGTTATAATATAAAAGCAAGGGGCGGTCGGGTAGCCTAGTGGTTAAAGCGTTAGCTCGTCACGCCGAAGACCCGGGTTCGATTCCCGACATGGGTACAATGTGTGAGGCCATTTCTGGTGTCTCCCGCCGTGATATTGCTGGAATATTGCTAAAAGCGGCGTTAAACCAAACTCACTCACTCACTCACTCACTATAAAAGCAAGTGTTTTGTGTACTGATGGAAATGAATAAGGAAACACTTAGTTTTAGACACAGGAAAATGACACGCCATCACGGGATCCCAGCCTTGTTTAACAAATACGACGGAAACAATGCTCATAAACACAACTCAACATTTGATTCCCACGTGTTGACGTTGTATGCGAGCTATTGCAAATGTTCTGACAGTATTGTTTGTTTGTTTGTTTGTTGTTTTACGCCCCACTCAGCAATATTCCGGCTATAAGACGGCGGTCTGTAAATAATCGAGTCTGGACCAGACAATCAAGTGATTGAGATCATGAGCATCGATCAACGTAATTGGGATCGATGACATGCATCAATCAAGTCAGCGAGCCTGACCACTCGATCCCGTTAGTCGCCTCTTACGACAAGCATAGTCGCCTTTTACGGAAAGCATGGGTTGCTGAAGACCTATTCTATCCCGGATTTTCACAGGTCCGTGTTCTGACAGTAAAGCTTATTTCCCTATATCTTTCATTGTTCCCTTATTCGTTTCCATAAGTATAGTTCTGTGTTCACCTTGATCAGTTTGTAGCGAGTGATTAAGCAGGGCTATTCTTCTAAGTTATGTGGAGGCGGTCGGGTAGTCTAGTGGTCAAAGCGATCGCTTGTCACGTTGAATGCACGGGTTCGATTCCCGACATGGGTAGAATGTGTGAAGCCCATTTCTGGTGTCCACCGCCGGCCGTGTTATTGCTGGAATATTGCTAAAAGCGGTGTAAAACCATACTCACTCACTCACTCACTCTAAGTTATGTCAACCTAACACACACAAAAAACAAATATATACCTAATTTGACTTTGAAATTAGCCATTACACATTAACATACTATGCTTGGCTACTGCTCCGTCTGTATTCCATCTTCCCGAGGCAAGGGAGTTAACTGACTATAAAAGTCCAGTTTCCACCCTTGGCTGGTATTGTGGAGTTAAATTTTGGCTGGACTAACGAGTCTATGCATAGTCCAGTCAAAATTGCGCTCCGAAATCGAAATCCGGTTCATAAACTGTCATGCAGATTTCGGTCGATTGGAGGATTTGCAAAGCAAGTACACCGCTAACTCGTTGTCAACAGATATTTTCTAAATCTTTTCTTGTTTTTAATCAAGGTGCTCACGTTATTTGATGCACTTCGCGATGTAAGACTTGTGTTATCACAATATACAGATCTTGATTATCGATCAGATCGTCTTGACTGGGCGCCGCCGTTTTGTTTGAAGCAAATGCAAGTGATACGAGTGGTGGAATCTGATTGGTCCATAGGAGAGGCATAGAAGGGACATAACTCGTAATAGCCACTGGTGGCGCTACGACCGAACCCAGGAATTCCAGCATAGTTCGGCAAGGGTGGAAACTGGACTTTTAAAGTCAGTTAACTCCCTTGCCTCGGGAAGATGACTGTACTCCAGGTAAAGGTCGAAAAGCAACGTTTATTTGTCACCATAAGTTGGTAGACTGCATGTCTTTATTAGCCATAAATGTTTATGGGGGCTTCTGTTTGAGGGGGTTGCAGCCTCATCTTTTGTCCCATAAACAAGAGGAAGTAGTCCCAGATGTACCGCTCACCGAGGTTGATGTTCACAATTGTCTTCCTGATCTAAGCCTCAGTTGTACCAGGGAACTAGAATTTTAATAAATTTGGATTGTGTCTTAAAGTATGGCTAGTATTGTTAACAACAACCAGTGACTAGAGTTATGACTTAAATCCTGTTTGGGGTTCATGCAGGTAGCTAAAGTGCTGTAAGACCCCACGGTCCCCAGCGAGGTGGTATGGCTTTACTTACTGGTGGTATATAGCTCGTATTCTAATAGTATAAAATGTTATGTTGTATATATGGTTAAAAGCCTTAGTGTTTGAAATGGTTAGTTTTTAGGTTTCAATCTGTGTTATCGTGTTAAAGTTTTACTGTCCTTTGTGACAGGTATTTAACTTTCAATATGTTCCCGTCACTCTATGGCTGAGATACTGCCGATGTGACGTTAATATTAACCCACTCACTCACTCAGCTGTATCACATACGTCTTCAGCAGTTGTTCTCTTGCAATTTGCTCCACAAGTATTACCAAGCCACTTCATTCGCCTGTTTCAGTCCATCAGCGCCAGGTTTTTGGTGAGGCTTTGATTTCACGTCAGACAGACCAGCTCTTCTTCAGTTTCCTGAAGGTGCCGTGACATACATGACCTCGAACAGTATAAACATGATACAATCTGACACAAGGTATTTTTTCATTGCTGGGGGCTCCTTAATTTATCTCAAACATGAATGGTGGAAGTCTGATAGATTTCAAGATAACTATTAAATACACCCTCACCATTCACGTTTGAGATACTTTATAAAAAAGGTTAGCTCCTGTATACCTGACATTTGTTGAAGTAATTGTGTAAAAAGTTTTGATGTTATATACACGACGTCATCATTATATGGTTTGAATGTGAAGAGATACCCCAAAAATGTACTCAGAGGCAAAACGTATTGTGACACAAAAACCAAAGAAAATCAAAATATTTTACTGGCGTGGATGGAATTATAACAATGTCCGGAAGTCCAGTAACGATATACGAAGACCTCTCCTGCCATACACAAATAAGGCATGTCACACGAGGGGTTCATAGGCTAGTCGACTAGTCAGTAGCGCGTGCATTGGCCACTTAACGTTGAAAAACGGCCTGGAGAATGGTAATTCATATCTGAGTGAGTGAGTGAGTGAGTGAGTGAGTTTGGTTTAACGCCGCTTTTAACAGTATTCCAGTTATAATGTCAGCCTAATGTGGGAGGAAAGCCCGAACTGATGCAGGTCTCAGACGTTTACTACTTCGGTGAAACCCACAACACGGGTATGGTGCTGACAAACCTAGAAACATAATCGGAGCGAACCGGGATTAGAACCCACAATCATAGGTTTCTGGCGTACCCAAGGGACGCGACTCTGCAAAGCGAATCGCGGCGCCTTAGACGACTGCCCCCAATTTCATATCTGAGGAAGGATAAGTCGGAGTTCCTGCAACGTTTTGGAGGATGTGGAAGAAGTCGCGAACGACGTCCCACATGTTCGATGGTGACAGATCAGGTGATCTAGCATGTCAGAGTAATGTAATAACATTGTTCTGAGTCAGCTACTGGATATCTCTAAGAACCGATGTATGGCGAATTCTAGGGTCAATCGAGCTGTTGGTGTTCTTCCGTCAGGTTGACCTTCTGTCAGGGCACCTTCTCGTCAGATTGTCCCCGCAGATACGCCTTTGTTAACAAGGATGTGAGCGTTGCTTTCTGGAACCTGTGTCAAAGACTTGTGGTTCGAATCCATGTCTTGACGAGCTGTTGTCACGGGTGGGCGACTTTTACGGGAGAGGTCTCTGTGGTTGTTCTGTTGATGACGTCACCATTAAGTGCAACGTTCCTGTAGACATTGAATTGACGTGCGACGCCACGATGCGGGACACTGGATTCAAGCCTCCTTTTCATTCGCCATCTGTCATTTTCACTCAATAGGCATGGCATGGTGAAATCTCACCAAAAGGATCAAAAGTGCTTATGCTATTAAAATTCGAGAGGATACTTAAGGCAATTGCTTTCGAGCATTCGTTATTTCTTGAAAAGGAAAACATGCATTACCAGCGATATTTTAGTTAAAACATTAAAAAATGTTACAGCCAATTTTGTGAAATTATGCATTTTTCCTTCAATTTATGCAGTTTTGACCCCCTGAAAATTTACGCACACACTTGCAAGCTTACTACCCAATGAAAATTGTGTACAGATACCTCCTTTATGCAAAAGAAAAGGTTTAAGGTATACAGGGAAATGTGGGAACGAAAATCTTGTTTTTCACCCCTGGCCAACTGACTATTTGTTAGATTGTGTTTCTTCATGCTTTTTACATGTTTCAAATATATAAAAAAGATCACATAAAGGTTTATAAGTGAAAACTATCCACCCCACAATAAATATTTCCTTATAAGTATCTTTTATGTATAAATAGCTCATTATATAAGCTGCATTGCTACTTTAAAATAAAATATAAAACCGTTTGAATAATTACATGTGCACATTCAATGGCCATGCTGTAAATGTTTAGCTGTTGGCATGGAGCAACTGTCGGACATAATTTATCTAAACTGCCGGACAAAAGCAAGTTTACACACATGTTTGATGAAAGGAAACAAACAAAAAAGGTTCTGGTGATGTATTTCATACGTAGTTATGTTTTGGACCTAAAGTCGGCAGTGTTTAGGCGACTGTTTTAAGCCTAGTAACGTTTTGATAACGCTTTTAATTTGTTTCAAATCCAATTATACTTACTTTCGCACGGCAATAATAATTATATATAAGAGTATATATCATATTACAAGGTATCCGAGTTTACAAATGTCAATGAATGAGTTTCCATATATTTTTCAGCTACCATTACATCTATATATGGATGCCTCTTGGATTCCGTCAGTTCGGCCACGCATCTCTGTATCTTAGCAATCGCCAGTATGTCAGTTTGTGGCCTCAAGAAGTAAACTGTAGGCTAAAGAAGAAGCAAAATCTGTTCAAATCCAACCTTCATGGTGACATTAACGAAGAGGGCACGGATCCTGACTACACATACAGGATTTCGGCCACAGAATTAGACCTGGCTAAAATGATGACGTTCTTGAAGAACCAAAAGACCATACCTCCCTATTCCTTACTGCTTCACAACTGTTGCTCGGCCGTGTACCAAATCTTACATGCAGGCGGAGCCCCAAAGAGTCTAACAATTATCTGGAGACCAGAAACTTTGCGGAGATACTTCGAAATTTATCTGGGCGGTGGATCCAACTTTACAACTCTGTTCAACTTGCCAGGATGGGATTCCCCTTTTAAAGGTAAAAGCAATAACCTGATGGAACTCCTTGTATTCATATTTAACGGTAATAAAGGAAATACTAGCATGGCATTTTCAACGATTTTTTCCTGTATGAACAACCATAGGTATTGTGGTATGATCTTAGTGTTTTTGTTGATGAATGTTTTCATGTCAATGTTGTCAAGACAACACTGGACCCGTGAAGATCCGAGGTAGAATATGTCTTCACTAACCCATGCTTGCCGTAAAAGGCGACTATGCTTGTCGTAAGAGGCGACTAACGGGATCGGGTGATCAGGCTCGCTGACTTGGTTGATGCATGTCATCGATCCCAATTGCGTGGATCGATGCTCATGATGTCAATCACTGGATTATCTGGTCCAGACTCGATTATTTCCAGACCGCCGTCATATAGCTGGAATATTGCTGAAACAACCAAACAACCAACTAACCAAGACAACACTGACGTTCCGAACATGTAGCAAATATTGTGAGATTAATCAAATATGGGAATATGTCATGAGCATAATATGGTAATCTTTCAGAGAAAATCACATTGCATACATGGAAAGCTAGGGATGGAACGGCACAACACTTTGCATTATCTCTGGATTACTCAGTGTATGTAAGCTGGTGGCCCCGTACTTCACAGGCAGCAGGGTATGCTGCGTCCAGCTTAGAGGAGGATAGGACAAAGATGGGCAGGGTGGAGGATGGCACATATATCCTTCCTGGCAATCAGTTGGAGTACCACTTAATGAGGAGACGTTGGAAGAAAATGTTGAAAGAGGAAACATCTGCTATGGGGAGAACTACCTCGGACTGGGTGATACATAACATTCTGATTGCAGGCGGCATTTCTGTTTTCCAATTACAGGAAATAATGTCTGCAAACGGAATGTTTGAAACCTTAAGCAGAGAATGATGACAGAGGGAATATTTGAAATGTGGTGAGCTGACTCGGACTGGACTGGATGATACATAAAGGTCTGATTGAAGGCGGCATTTCTGTTTTCCAATTATGTGAAATAATGTTTGCACCTTCAGCAGAGAGTGATGACAGAGGGACTATATGCTTGAAGGTTGCGCCTCTGATTTCAAATGACTGGAAATAACGTTTGCACCTTCAGCAGAGAATGATGACAGAGGGTATATATTTTGGACGGTTGTGCCTCTGAATTCAAATGACTTGAAATAATGTTTGCACCTTCAGCAGAGAATGATGACAGAGGGAATATTTGAAATGTGGTGAGCTGACTCGGACTGGACTGGATGTTACATAAAGGTCTGATTGAAGGCGGCATTTCTGTTTTCCAGTTATATGAAATAATGTTTGCATCTTCATCAGAGAATGATGACAGAGGGAATATATGCTTGAAGGTTGCGCCTCTGAATTCAAATGACTTGAAATAATGTTTGCACCTTCAGGAGAGAATGATGACAGAGGGTATATATTTTGGACGGTTGCGCCTCTGGATTCAAATGACTTGAAATAATGTTTGCACCTTCAGGAGAGAATGATGACAGAGAGTATATATTTTGGACGGTTGCGCCTCTGATTTCAAATGACTGGAAATAATGTATTCACCTTCAGGAGAGAATGATGACAGAGGGTATATATTTTGGACGGTTGCGCCTCTGGATTCAAAGGACTTGAAATAATGTTTGTACCTTCAGCAGAGAATGATGACAGAGGGTATATATTTTGGACGGTTGCGCCTCTGGATTCAAATGACTTGAAATAATGTTTGCACCTTCAGCAGAGAATGATGACAGAGGGAATATCTGTTCGAAGGTTGCGCCTCTGGATTCAAAGGACTTGAAATAATGTTTGTACCTTCAGCAGAGAATGATGACAGAGGGAATATATGTAATAATGTTTGCACACAGGAACCTGCTGTATATCCACATTCTCTAAAATACGGTGTCAGTCAAATGACGTTTATGTGGTGGTTATATGATGATTCTCGTGAATTTAGGACGTGCACAAATATACAGAATGAATTAGATTTAACTAACGTTTCCCAAACTGTTGTTGCGATATGTATCAAGTCCTGCAGCTGCAACCCCATAGAGGCTAACAAGACACCAGAAACCTTCCGATCGATGTCAACAATGATTTAATCTCCCACCTTCTCAAATAGTATGACTTGTAGAGACATTTGTAGATGAGATGTCAGACATTAACTAGATGGATGGTTACGATGGCTATGGTGTTCTACTGCCCTCGAATGAAATGATCTGAGTATGGTCGTAAGTCCATAATCATTTCGTTTCCGGAGCGTACCTCGAAAATCGTTCAATATACTTCAAGGAAAATAGGCAGATATATATAAAGAAACTCCTGAGCGGAGACTTTTGCTATTTTAGGGTTTTTTGCATTTTTATTTTTCTCGATTTCATTGAGACAACGTGGAGTTGCCGTTTCAATAGCACAAATTGAAAACTGCAAAAGATGTTTCATCCAAAGAAGTTCATACTTCACCATTTCCAAATCTTCACAGAGTCGTTTAAACCATGGTGAGTTTTTGCTGCGATTATCGTTGTTTAAGGGTAATATCACGGCACTAAGTGCAGCAGATAATTGAATAATTTCAAAAACTTCATTTGTACCTTTTGACGTATAATCCATAGATGTATCATGAAAGTCATTTAATGAGACTCAGTTTAACTTATTTTCCAATGTGTTTCCCTCGAGAACTGGACCCGTGAAGATCCGGTGTAGAATAGGTCTTCAGCAACCCATGCTTGCCATAAAAGGCGACTATGCTTGTCGCAAAAGGCGACTAACGGGATCGGGTGTTCAGGCTCGCTTACCTGGTTGCTGCATGTAATCGATCCCATTTCCAGTTCCAGTTCCAGACTCGATTATTTACAGACCGCCGTCATATTGCTGGAATATTGCTGAGTGCGGCGTTAAACAACAAACCGACCGACCGACCTTCGAGAGCTGGACATGATACTTAGGAGTCATAAGTTCAGAACACAGCCCCTGAACGTTCCAAGGTATAAGGGACGTAACTCTATCACAAAGAGCCGGGCCACATCCTTATGTATAGTTCTCTGTTCTGTCTCAGCCTGCTGATGTTGAGTTGTCAGACTGCTTTGAACGATCTCTACCGGAATACACAGGGGGGTCACCTTAAAGATTCCAGGTCACATTTCGCCGACTTCGAAAACTAACTTGTCAACCTGAGCCACCTCTTCTTCCCTTTTCTCTTTCTGCCTCCGTGATAAGTTTAAGCATTATCGTAATATTTCACGAACAAAAGATTTACAGTCTTTTCACATTTCGTCAGGTTTAAACTTTGGAATACAGATGAATAGCAAATTATTACGACGACTCTGGTTTCCAAAGTTCTCAAGTTTATCAATAACAGCTGAAAAGATTTTCGTAAGTACAGCGTTTTTATTTTCCAGCTCTTCATACTTTGTTGAGAGATCATGTTGATTTTATCATGTCGTGAATTACAGACAGTACACTGAGTTTGCAGGATAAGTCCTTTTATACGCCATCAACCTTATCAGATATTTTTTTTCAAATTGTTTCATTAACCTATGATTTTTCATTAAATTCGCTTGCACCAGTAAGCTTTAGTTGTTTAGTGGTGGTTCGGGTGTCTGGGCTTGGAATTTCTTCTACATCAGAACGTATGAGGAATAATGTTATCAAACTCTCGGGTTGAAGATAAGAAGTCAGTCTCGGTCTGCCGAAAACTTGTCATTTTACGAGCGCTTCCTTGAGAAGAACGGCCGTGACACCTTTAGACATGATACAAGATGTACAAGCCTGATCCCTAATTTCGTCAGCGGTAGCATTTAAACAAACACGGGGTATGAGAAAGTTCAATTCTAAGTAAAAACAGAAGTGGAATTAGGAGATAAACAGACTGTGTTTTCAATGTAGAGCTAGTTTACCTGGAGATTTAACCCCGCTAAATTGAATTTTGAACCGAACGCGCAGCGTGAGGTTTCAAATGTAAAATTTAGCGCGGTTCAATCTCCATATAACCTAACTCTACATTGAAAACACAGTCTGTTTATCTCCATTCTACCATGATGAAAATAAAACGCGAACTCTTTGGTGTTAGCAAATATACTGAGTGAAGCGGCATGGGTTGAGTCCAGTGTTTTGAGCGGGTTATCGATCTGAATTACGGAATCACCTAACAAAATATGGCGCTGTAAACACGCAAGCAGTTTGTTTACACCGTAATACTTCACTCGAACATATGACAGGAATTGAAAGCATATAAGCACGGCAACTAGTTAAGCTAACATGAGGTGGGCATACCTAAAGAAAACAAAGCAATCTTTGCAAGGCTTTCGCTCCACATCGCACGTCACCAGTATGACGTCATATCGCTCATTGTGACGCAAAAGATATGACGTCACAGTCGTATATAGAAAAGCGCCAAAATTCCAAGCTCTCTCGTCTCCCAAACGTAAATACATTCCCTTTGCAGATTTCTACCGTGTTTCAGCACGAAATGTATTGCCACACATCCTTTGAATATTGTAGTAACCGCATCTATGCATTTTGTAACCTGTAATTGTAGATAAAATTATTTAAATATGCCTACCGACAATGACTGAAAATAGTACTATTTTATGAATATTAGCTTCCGCGGTAATGCGGCCGTCAAACCAGCTGTTTCAATCAGAGGGGGTTTATTGTGATTTAATCGCCTCTGATTGACCAATCAGAATCGAGTAAATTCCAAATTCATGGTAGAATTGATATTCTTACACACCTGTGGGTGAGAAACCCATTTGAGATAACTGGTATCAAACATATGTGTGAGATCGAATTCCAGGCCCGTGATTGGCTACTCCATGGTGATGACCTGGGGTCAGATGATGACGGACTACTTTCCTGAGTAAGTCATTCATAAGTTGCTCGTGCTTCAGTCGAATGTTCACCTACGTCTGTATTGAACAACAGGACCGTGTAATTAATAATAAAAATAAACAAACTCGTCCTCGTCTGCGAGTTTGTTTGTTATTATTATTATCAGTTACATTATCTGTTGTTATGTCAACATTATCGTTTTTTCAGTGTGTAAACCCCCTGGATGCCACAGCGACACATGTCCCTTCTCTTCAACCCTCACTTCGAAATCGAATAAAATTCAAAATACATCACGCAGAATCTTAACAGTTTTGAATTCCCCCTTCTGTTTATCATTTACTGTCATTTTAGGCAATTCAAAATTACTGAAAGTGACTGAAAGTTAGGTACATTGTAAATCTCGCCAAATCACAGTTCACGGCGCTATATAAATATTTAGAATCTACTGTGTGTTTAGAAATCTAAATATCGGATATTTACTCGAATATTTAAAGTAGAAAAATAGCATATTAGCGATCACGGGTATCAAATCACTAATGATAACTCTGAAACGTCGCTGATAAGCCTAGAATCGTTTAGAATGTTTTGGAAAATATGCACACACGAACGCCGAAATGTACGTTCCGCCATATTGGATTGTGTTTACAAAATGTCGATTATGAGACGCCTATATTCGATCAGGTATATTTCAAACTCAGCTGCTATACATGCATCCCTGAATTCCTCATACATTTTCGAAACAATGGATAAATGGTCTTTGTCACCAATACAAATTATCTAGATGAAATCATGCGAAATAAATTAGCTATGAACACGAAAACTGTGCTCGGAAAATTGTACTTGCTGAAATGTAAACAAAGCAAAATTCAGATTTACACTGTAGCATTAAAAGAGGTACTTTCGTCTAATTGTTGGCTCGATCACGCGTTTGAGAATATTCATGGGAAGAGTATCGTTGCACTAATTATGGAATTACACATATTTACATTACAATGATGTGGTAAATTCAACAGAAGCCGTAAAAGTTTCCGTCCTGTGTGACGCCATGACTGACGCTAAATCACGCACAACGATGACGGTAGGCCTAGTTATCTGCATTTCTGACTAATTCTCTGTTACATTGGAAAACATGGTAAACAAATAACAGTACGCAGAATGTCAGAATGTTTCTGATTACTTACGTGACACATTTATGTGTATACGATCTCTTAATCAACGAAAACCTCCTCTGGAAATCCCGCGTACTGTTGTCAGTGAACACGCCATTTTGTAAAAGTCGGTCACCGGTAGTGATGTCATACGGAAGTAAACATTGTTGTACATATTTGGTAATTTCTTTGCGGTGTAAAATTTCAACTTGGCACCCAGCGTGTTCTTGGTTTTTGTCTAGTTTGCATTTTCATCATCGCCTTGATAATCCACAGATAGGACGGAAACCTTTTTGTGTAGGGTCACATTATTTATGAGTAGTAAGCAGCACATAGGATGACGTCACTTATGACAGTGGTGTTACATGTATTAATGCGCTACTGCAATCATGAGAATAGACAAAATTCATCGGTTCGATGCTAAAAAGGTGCGATTTAAGGGTGTGCAAGAAACAGATTACTGCACTCGTGTCTGTCAGATACCATTGATCTTACAACTCGTTGTTACAAAGCGTATCTAACTCGCTTTCGCTCGTTAGATACGTTTTGAAACAACTCGTTGTAAGATCAATGGTATCTGACAGACACTCGTGTAGTAATCTCTATTTATCGTCCAAACCTGGCTCCAAAAGTAGATATCGCTTAGGTGAGATCAAACGACATCTACTTTGTTGATATCGCTGGAATGAAATAGCATCACAATGCTTTGCAGACCATTGTACCGTCATTGGTTACCATGACGTCACAATCAAATGACATCACTAATGGCTCCGCTACTGAAGCTGTTAGCATTATCATATACTTCAGTGTGAAAGACTGAGTTTTCTGAATTTGGGAAAAGTGATGTTTTCATTGCAGTGAACACAACACTTGATATTTCACAGCAGTGAACACTTTGACGGTACTATTGTTACACAAGAGTTACTTCCCCTTTAATTGTTTCCCTTTGTCGTAAGTGACTAGCCGCACAGAATTTTTTACCTTCTTACGTGAGTTCCACATTGACGAGGCAAAATAGTAATGGATGGTCAATTACGATGTTAATATCACTCCTAGCCGTTTATACTTCTCTCGAAAATGTTTCGTTTTAAACTGTAAATCTCTGGTTTAATTAGTCAATCGAGACTGTTCGTTTCGCAAAACTGCTATTTTTGTTACTTGACCAGCGTGTATTCTTTCGTTTCTCTCAGCGGTCTCATAGAATTCAAGAATATTTTTTGTTAAAGTTGATTTTGTATATAATCATATCGAAATGTATGAATTGTCATGACCCTAAATAGTTTTTTTTATACTTTTGTTTATATTATTTAAGATTTTGCAAACACAAAACTACTACGCCACTCGTGAAAATATCTCCTTTCACCCCGTCACTCGATGAGAGAAACATGATATTTCACTCGACTCATGAAATATCCTCTATGTACTTTTTAAACTTAACACACTGCTTGTTACTGTCTACAAACTGAAAAAGTTGGAAAAATGATGTGGGATGTTAAATAAAATCTCAACCACTGCCCGTCCTGGATACGATCATTGTCCCTCTACATCCCTACCATGGCCCGTCCTGGATACGATCATTGTCCCTCTACATGTGAAACACTACCCGTCCTGGATACGATCATTGTCCCTCTACATCCCTCCAATGGTTCGTCCTGGATACGATCATTGTCCCTCTACATTCCTACCACTACCCGTCCTGGATACGATCATTCTCCCTCTACATTCCTACCACTACCCGTCCTGGATACGATCATTGTCCCTCTACATTCCTACCATGGCCCGTCCTGGATACGATCATTGTCCCTCTGCATCCCTACC